CCCTGTGCATGGTGAAGTCTTCCAGTTGTTCCTGTATACAGATCCCATACCACTGTTTGCATCAAACCTTAGAATACTGTAGATTTTCCTGAATGAAATTTATAATTACTCGAAAGAGAGGGCCCAAACCACCCTGTTCTGAAGAGATATCTATATCTATATCTACATCTATATCTATATCTATATATCTATATATTTATATATAGATATATATAGATATAGATATATATAAATGACTTGATCATAGTCACACAGTAAATGTCTGAGGCCAGATTTGAGCTCAGTAATATGAGTCTTCCTGACTCCAGGCCCAGCAGTCTGTCCACTGAACCACCAAGCTGTCCTCTGGGAAAGTTAGGGGATAGTATACTTGGGATAACCATGATCATATAAGAAACAGAATGCATTAATAAAAAACTTATTTTTAAAAAAAGTATGTATTATGTGAAGATGTAAGATAACTGACCAATCTAATATGTTTTTCAAATTTGGTTGCTGAAAATTTGAAATCAAAGTTTATCATCAATCAGCAAGCATTTATTAAGCCTTCATCAAATGGTAGGCATTGAAGAGTCAAAGAAAAAGGGAAACAGTCCCCATCCTCAAGATTCTTATATTCCTTTTGTTTTATGCTTACATTCTGATTGGGGATGACAACATTGACACAAATAGGTGTTTACAAGATGCATACAGAAGAGATGCAAAGTAACCTTAGAGAGGAAGGCCTTAGTACCTGAGGGGAGTGGAGTGGAGGTTGGAGGGGAGGCCTTCTATAGGAGGTGTCATTTGAGTAGCATTTCTAAGAGGTCCAAGTGAGAAGAGAGGGTATTCCAAGGGGGAGGGGGATAGCCAGTGTAAAGGCATGGAGGCAGAGGATGAGCATCTTTTTTGAGGAGCAACAGGTTGGCCAGTATGGCTAGATCATAGAGTACATGGAGAATAAGTGTTGTTTGTTCTTTCTTCTTAAAGAGGACCAATCAGGAGGGTGATGTCTTGACTTGCAAGTGAATGGGATTTAAGTGAGGCAGGGCTGTGCAAAGTCATCAGCCTTACTCTCTCCTCCACAGTCATCCGAGTCCAGTTGTGACTGAAAAGATAGGAAAGAACTGAATGGTTAAAAACTTTAAATGCCAAACAGAAGAGTTTATTATATTTGATCATAGAAGTAATAGGGAACTATTGGAGTTGTATTGTGAGGACAGTAATATAATCAGACCTGCCCTTTGGGAAAATCACTTTTGGCACCTAGGTAGAGAACAGATTAGAGTGGAGAGATTCTTGAGGCCAAGACCAATTCGGGAGCTACTTTAGTCACCCGAGTGAGAGGTGAAGGCTGAACCAGGGTGATGATTATGTGAATGGAGGGAAAAGAGTTTAGTCAAGAGCTATCTTGAAAATAGAAACAACAAAATTTGGCAATTGACTAGATGTTTAGAGTGAATAAGGGGGCGGGGTCCCCCCAAGTCCTCTGCCTCTTAACCCTAGCAGAGAAGATGGATTTAACTCAACATTCCTCTGAACTGTAAATATACTTATTCTATACGAGGCTGAAAAAGACCAGAAAAGGGGTGGGGATGGTTTCCAAACATGAAGACAACTAAAGACAGAATTCAGACTGACACAAATAGAAATTAGTTTAATTCATTGAGGGATATGTTCTAAATCAGACAACTGGTAAAATGTGTTCTTACCCAGTAAAAATAAAAATAATAATGAATCAGAAAAATTCTTTGCATGTAATTTTTGTTTTTGTTTTAAATAAAATGCCCAACAATATTAGAAGGCACTTTCCTTTAAATGAAGGTCATTGCCAAGTTGTACAGGCTGTTTTGCTGAGTGGGTTAGAAACAGGAACAAGCCATGATACATGAAATTGTTCCAGACCCTGCATCTCTACCACATTTTCTATCACCTTTGAAATAAAGGAAGGTTAGAAGTGGAGTTTAAAAAAAAAAAAAGAGGCTAGGTTCATATTAGGAAGATTGAGCTTGAAAAAAAAAAATCCGTGCTGGCAACCACTTTAAAATGAGACTGAATATGACCTTGAATTAGAAAAAGATTAGCAACATGTCTCATTATCTGGTGCAACATCTCTAGCTGTAAAACATCTCGGCCATTGAAGCCAAAGACCTAATGGGCAGGTGGTTGGGTTCTGCTGCCAAACAATCATCTTAACCTCATTAGTAGTCACTAGAGCAAAATGGGGAGAGGAAGTTGCAGATGGCCAGGAATGAAAAGGAACATTAGGATTTAAGAGGAGGCTGCCACTCCAAGTTTAAACCAGTCATAAAGATTATAAATCTATCTGAAGAAACTGACATTTGCCAAAAATGTATGGATATTTTATACGTGACTAATGGCTATTAGTGACCAAATTAGTAGGTGGTGCTTATGTTGACACTTCTGTTAACTTGGAAAAGTATTCTCCTCCTCCTCATTAGAGACAATTTTAAAATAATGGCAACTTCCAGAAAAAAAGAGGAAATGGATTTATAATTTGTACATTTGCTAAACTTACTACTATTTGGATGGACCTATAACTTCTGACAAAGACTGACTTTTAGTTAGAAAAACAAAAAAGAACCTAAGCTTTCTCATCTCTTATTCTCTCTTTAATACTGATCCATCCTGTAAAGTTCTCTGTTTGGCATTTAAAGACCTTCATTCCCAACCTCTTCCTTCCTTTCCTGCCTTCTTATGATTTACTCCTCTTCACTCACTCTGTGGTCCAGTTCCACTGGCTTATTTGAGCTCTTTGTACACAACACTCCATTTTCTGACTCCTGGAATGCTCACCTGAAGGGCCTCTGAATTTCCCTGCCTTGCCTCAAAACTCAGACACTATGCTAAGCACTTGGGAATATAAAGACAAAATTTTAATGAATTATTTTTCCTATTTATAATCATTTACTTTAACTTATTTTTTGTTGTAAAAATTAATGAGAGTAGGCGGGCCAAATATGCACACAGGAGTACCTACACAGATGGAGTCATGAATCTTTTGAAATATTGTGTGTGTGTGTATGTGTGTGTGTGTGTGTGTGTGTATGTATGTATGTGTGAGTGTAGTACTTTAAAGCTTGCAAACCCCTTTATATAGATTAATTCATTTGAGTTTCACAATAAGCCTTGTGAGTAGGTTCTATGGATATTGTTATCATCCTCATTTTTCAAGGAAGAAAGCTGAGAGCTTTAGTGACTTGGCTATGCTCATATAGCTAATAAATGGCTGAGACTGGATTTAAACCCAGGTCTTACTGAGTCCAAGGCCACAACTAAGTCAGTTATACCATGTTGCCTCTTTATTCCTTCATGGTCATTGACATCCCCAATTGGCAAGGAAAACCTCATGAACTACATTGCTTCCATTGTGTGTACCATTAATACTAGATTTGTTCTCAAATGTTATCTCTTTAAGGAATGAATTCCACATTTATAGTTAAGGTCTTACATCTATTTCTTTGCAATTTTAGTTTTACTTCAGCCAATTTGTATTTGACCTTTTTGGCTTCTCCAGATTTCCAGTTTGCAAGTACAGATAAGGATTTTCACATTTTGATTCCTACTTGTTAATTTATGGTTACCATTGATACTTGCCAGTAGGTATTGACAGATTCATCTCCATGGTACCATTTCATTTGACTTTATGTTTGCAAGAGAAACAGCACTATGAGACTATGAGCTCAGAAGTGTCCGTATTGCTTGGCAAAAGTTTGGCAACTGTGTTTTCCTTCATTATTGTTCATATATCTCTTCATTTCTTCTTAATTGATTTTCTGCTATAAGAATTCAAGAAAATAGACAGGTCACATGTGCAGATAGTGCCCATATTTGGGAAGCTTACTGGTATGGGCCTCCATCTTTATTATATGGGATTTAACTGTCAATGGCATAAAGCATGGAAATTTAATCTGTGGGATGATAACAGAAAAACAATGCATTTAGGCACATTCTTGTCTGGGTCCATTTGATCCATTCTGAAAATGTAATTTATTTGTACATCTGTCAATACCTGTAAGGTTACATCCAATAATGAGCATGGCAGGGATTTAAGAGTGCATTCATTCCACTATTGGACACCAAAAGGTCAGCCTTTTTGAATAGGGGGTAGAAATTAACATTTCCCAAGAATTTATTTTCCCCCTTCCTGAGGTTATCTCTTAATTCCAGCAATTTACCATGTTTGATAAGCAAGCAGAGTATATATTTTGATTATTTGGTAGGGGGAAAAGGTGATATAACTTAAAAAATTTCAACTAGCATTGCACTCTGCTGATAAGAATGGGAGTTTGTGCAGTACTGAAGAGATTACATGAAGCACAATTGGAAAGCAAATTGTATTTACAAAAGATAGGCTGATGTTCCTAATAGGTGTTCAGAATAGACCATTCATGCTCATATTTTGCTGAGCTTTACTAGAAATAACTTCATTTCTAAAAAGGACAAATCTGATTGAAAGTAAAAGCATTCCTTCTCCACAGATACTTGTCTAAAGGGTTTACATTAAATTTTCCTGATGGGTGCACAGCGGTATCGTATGCTGTATCTATATAAACTGGTAATGTGAAAAATAAAAATCTAAATACTATATTTGATTGGTTCATGCTCAAACCACTCAGATTGTTAGATTTATATCTACAATTATGGAAGAGATGTTGCAATATGATGTTCTGACAATAGCTGTCAAAAATATAATACCAGGGTGCATTTTCATCTTGTTTAAGTTATTGAAATTCACAGTTGTTAGGTCAAAAGATCTCTTTCTGTCTCTTGTCATCTAGGGGGGTAATGCTGACCTAAATAGCCCCTCTGTAGTGTTGCCATGTTGTTAGAATTGTCATTGTATATAAATTGCAAAAATTTGTCATGCTGTATGGTTTATTGCATTTTATGCCTGGAGTAATGATATGAGAAAAGGTCATTGATGCTTAGTTGCTGTATTTTGGATTAAATTTTTAATTCTTCTATCTCTCTCCCTTGGTCTCTCTGTCTTTTTCAAGATTTTGGATTACGTAAAAGGCACTCACTACCAGTTGGCCTGCCAGAAGTTCTTTGATCTAACACATAATGTAAGTATGCATTTGAATTTTATGCCCTGTCAATCAGGGAGTCTTTACATATTGTTATAAAGCAGTTCTAAATGATCATATGTTATATTATAACATTTATTGTTATAATATAAATTATTATATAAATTGTTATATATTGTTTTAAGAAATCCTAGAAACTCTCTGGATTTCAGTTAACTGCATCCATCAACAATGGTAGTACTGTGTTGATTTTTATGAGTTAATTAAGCTTTGAGGGGCAGTGTGATATAGTGGATAAAGAACCTGATTCACAGTTAGGAAGACCTAGCTTTAAGTCCTGCCTCTGACATCTTGACAGCATGACTTAAGTAAGTCATCCTATGTCCCAGGGAACTTTCCAAGACCGTAAGTTGTGAGCAAGTATTGATCTTCATTGGTAAAAGGAATTTCCTCATGGAGAGTTTTCATACACCAGGGAAATCACAGGTTTAATTCAACAACTACTACAAATTCTTTCTACTTGTTTGATTTTCACTTTTCTGTGAAGTAATATTTTTGCTCTGGTGATATAACTATTAAACATCTTATTAAGACTAAATATTTCATATGATAAGCATACTAAAAATTCTTTATTCTTTAGTGTTTAGAGTGGTTTTGTGATTTTTAAATTTTTTATAATACTTTTCATAAATTGTATATAAATATATTTTTAAAAGCTTATTAAAATTAGTGCTGAATGTAAAGTAGTAATCAACAACAAAATTTCATTATCTTTATTAGAGCAAAAATCAGTCAATCAATAAACCTTTATCAAGTACCTACAGTGTGCCAGGCACTATGCTAAATCATACCAGGTTCAAACAACAAATGGGTGTTATCGATGTCAATTTAGTTTGGCCATATTCTCCCAAATGATCTCATTCTCTAATTTGTTTATTCAGCTTGAGAGTTATGATTTCATCTATGTTTTAAATTCTTTTTGGACTTTTAAGTAGAACTCCATATGTCTACAAACTAAGGTGTTTTCCTTTTTTCCATGCTTATTTCAACAAAGAAGCATTTTATCTCAAAATTAACTAACAGATAAGGAATGATGATGAAGATGATGACCGAAGTTTAAAAATGTATTTCATAGCTCCCCCAAAAGCTCCCTCTAGTCATCAGAAACAATAGCTTAAGATTCATGTGGAGATGGCCCTTCCTTAAGAATAATGAGGGGATAGGTGGCTTAGGTCCCTGTGTATCTATAGTGAGTTTCGAATCAGTGAAACTTTGGGTTCCCAAAAGGTGGAATAATTTCAGTTAGCCCCAAGTAACAAGTACCAGTAACAGAAATTGTGTGGTTGTTGGGGGTTGGGGTAGGGAATGAAGGTGGAGGTGTCTCTTTTTGCTGTGAACTCAGCTGCCTGAGGATAGATTCACCATTGCAAGTAAAGTCAGAGCATGCTTGGCATGTATGTGAATTTAATAGGTCTTTTGCGATATCATGGTAGATGACATAGAGAAATGTGATACAGCCTTACACCTGAAGTCAAGAAGACCTGAGTTCAAATTTGGCCTCAGTTACCAGCTGTGTGACTCTTGGCAAGGCACTTAACCTCTGTCTGCCTCAGTTTCCTTAACTGTAAAATGGACTAATAGCACCTACCTGCCAGGATTATTGTGAGGATCAAATAAGATAATATTTATAAATCACTTAACATAGTGCTGGGTACATAGTAGGTACATAATAAATGCTTGTTTTCTTCCTTCATAGATAATAATGCAGTCAGTGTTGTGCTGGAAAGAGGTCTCTCTGGTGGTGAACTAAAGGATTTTGATTAGGATCTGTCTTGTGCAAAAATGTTATTAACCCAGTTGAAGACACAGAAGATACACTTGTCAAGTCCATGGATGACACAGAATTAGAACTTGCAGAATCAGAATTCAAGGAAGTTACCTCAGGCTGGAGTGAGGAAGCTTAATTAGGAATAAATAAAAAGTCTGGCACTTAGGTTAAAGAAAACAAAACAAAACAAAAAACTCAAGTTGCTTAAGTGTAGGTTACATGAAATCCTCAACACCTTCCCATTAGAACCACGCACATTCTGGTCCCTGGATCCCTGGGCTTTGATAGATGAACTTCTGCTTATCTTGCCTTCAGGCAGGCCTCTGTATCGCTTCCCAGTCATTTCCAGTCCATGCTGTGGTATGCTTCTCTTTCTCTCTCCCTGTCTGTCTCTCTCACTCTCTCTCTCGACAGGGAGAGAGAGAGTTGTCACCCTCCACCAGGATGTAATCTTTTTCAGGGCAAAGACTATCTTACTTATTTGTATTTGTATTCCCAGGATTTTGCTGTACAAAGATAATCCCTACCCTCAAGGAACTTGATTGTACTGCAAACTCAGCATGAGTTTGTGATGTGATATGGCTGTCCTCCCCCATGCAATATTAGGGTGTGTTAATAGAAGTAGAATACCTTCTTTGAAGGAAGTAGTAGTTCTATTCTACTCTGTGCCATGCAGACTACACCTAGAGTTTATATTTAGTTGTTGGTACCATGTTTTATGAGGACTAATGACAAATTGGAGGTTTTTTTAAGAAGATGATGAATAAAAATACTGATGGATCTGGAAGCCATGTCATATAAAGAATAGGGTATGTAATATAAAGAATTTTTGATCTGGCAAGAGAAAACATAATTGGGTACAAGTCAACTGTCTAAATATTTGAACGATTGTTATTTAGAAGAGAGTATAGGCTATATGTCTCCAGAAGGAAGAACTTAGATAGAGTAAAATTTATGAGAAAAGATTTCAGCTTAACATACGAAAGGACTTCTTAACAATTAATGCTGTCTAAAAATGTCCTACCTCAAAAAAATAGTTCCTGTTTGCTGTTCCAAAATAGACTAGAGAGCAGTCTGACTGGGATAATGTTCAAGGGATACTATCCTACACTGAGTGGAAAATTGTACTTAATAATCTTTAAGGTCCTTTCTAACTGGCATTTCTTGATTTTGTGAACATTTTTTCATGAGACAAATGGATCCTAGATAGCACAGCCCCTTTTTATAGGTACAGTGTAGCAAAATGTGGACTGGTATATAATTTAAGAGCTGGAAGAAACCTTCTTGAATTCAATATCAACATTTTACGGATGAAGAAACTGAGATTTAGAGAAATTTAAGTGACTTACCTAAGATTATTCAACCAGTGTAGAGGCACATCCAAGAAAGGAACTTTTACAATTTATACTTTAGATGTCATTAGAGGCAGTTATTTGCTCTCCCATTGCACAAATTACAACATTTCTATCTTGTAGGGAAACTGGGAGTACAGACCTAAAACACAGCTACTTAGATATAAATCAGTTTGATAAACTCTCCAGCCTGTGGATCACAATAAGTCTGTGTAGGGAAGCCATTAACAAATTTATATAGTGTTGGGAGAATTTGATTCCACTTTCCTAAAAATAGATAATTTTTCTCTTTCTACCAGAATAACAGATTCTGCCTGAACAAGAATATGTTCAGAGACTTAGGCTTCTCATACTAGGGGACTTCAGTACACATATTGATTCTCCCTCCCCTGCCCAACCATGCAGTTCCTCAACCCACTCACTACACATGAGCTCCTCCTCAGCTACACATAAAGATGGTCATATTCTTGATCTTGCTATAACTTATAGATGTACCACCTCGATGTTCAAGAATTCTGAAATCCCCTTATCTGACCATAATCTATTGGTTTTTCACCTTTCCCTGTGCCTTCCCTTACATAACTCTATTCTTCATCCACATTGTGACCTCCAATGCTTTGAATTGACCCCTCAATTCTTTCCTAGGCCATCTCCCCTGCAGTAGCCACTGTCTCCTCCCTGTCTTGACTTCTTGGTGAAACGATTCACCTCTACACTGTACTTCTCTCTTGATTCCTGGCTCTCTTATCATATCTCCCATTATGCCCAGCCAAGCCTCAGTCACCCCTTTGTGCCTTTGTGCCTATATGTGCTGCTGAACAAAGGTGGGGAAAATAACACAACCATTTTGATTGGATCTGCTACTGTGTTACTCCACCTCAACTGGGCACTCACTGCCATTAGGCAATTCTTCTGTACCTCCTTTATGAATTCACTATCTCACTCTCCACAGTAGCTCTTCCAAACCTTTTCATCCCTCTTCAAACCTCCCATGGCTCCTCTTCCTCTCACTCTCTCAGCTGAGAACCTTGCCTCATATTTTACAGAAAAAAATTGAGGCCATTCACTGTGAGCTCCCTTTTCTTTCCTCTTCCTCATCTCGTACCACTCAAATATCTTCTTGCCTTTCTCCTCCTTCATCCCTGTCTCGCTTAATCAAGTGGCCTTAATCCTTACCAAGGCTAACCTCTCTACTTGATTCCATTCCATCCTCTCTCCTCAAACAGATTGCTCCTTCTGTCATCTCCACTCTTTCACTTATTTTCAATCTCTGTCTCTCTGCTGGCTCATTTCTTATTGCCTACAAACATGCCCCTGTCTCCACTATCCTAAAAACAAAAACAAAAACAAACAAACAAACCAAAAAACCACCTTATTTGATTCTTCCATCCCTGTTAAGCATTGCCTTATATTTCTTTTGCCCTTTGTATATAAACTCCTCAAAAAGGTTATCTATGATAGGTGCCTCTACTTTCTCTCCTCTTCCTCTCTTCTTAACCCCTTACCATTTATCTTATTACCTTATCATTTCACTGAAACTGCTCTCTCTCAAGTTATTATCTCTTAGTTCCTAAATCCAATGGCCTTTTCTCAATCTTCCTTCTGTCTCCCTGATACTCTCTTCTCTCTAGGTTTTCAGGACACCACTTTCTCCTGGATTTCCTCCTACCTCTCTGACCATTCTTTCTCTGTCTCCATCACTGGATATTCCTTCAGATCATACCTTCTCACTGTAGGTATCCCACAGAGTTCTGTCCTGTGACCTCTTCTCTTCTCACTGTACACTATCTTACTTGGGGATCTCATCAGTTTCCATGTATTTAATTACCATTTCTAAGCTGATGATTCACACATACACC